AATCAGTACTTCAGGAAAGGTTCAGTCTGACATTGAACTGTTTAGACAGAAACAACAGATGGTGAGGCTATTGCAGATCAGGAATAACAAGAAAAATTATTAGCTGGTGACTTCCTCCTTGTCCTTCACACTGTTATGTTTAAAACCCAGGTATCTTGCTGGTTTTATTTTAACTCATTCTCCGGCCTTTAAAATATAGGGTATATTCTGTGTTTATAATTCTACTATTGATATTATCAGATTTGTCTCTTGAACAAAGGAGATTCCCCACTTCCCATTCTAAAGTAGATTTAAAAGTAGGTTGATACACTTCCACATTGAGGCTGACCAGCTATGCATAAAACAATTCTGCACCACAAATCTGAAACTGTAAGCTGAAACCAAGGCATGACAGAGTCTTTCCTTTCTGTCTTGTCTACACATATCTTTGAGGGAAACATATCCAGACAGTTAGTTACTACGAAGAGATTCTTTTAGCCAGATCATTACAAAATAAGCTTTTCTTCTTGCTGCACAGGAACAACTTATGAGAGCTCAAAAACTGACTTTGCCTCAGTAATAAGTCTGGATCATTTGCAGCGAGCAGCAGTGTAAGGACAAAGTATTAGACATATTAATATTTCAACAATAGGTTCTTTTCAAGACACCTGCAAGCTTGCAACAGATTGTCATCAAGTCTTCTGCAGAGAACAGATATGTTATGCTCCATATTTAAAAAATAAAATAAAACTAAACTGGGAATGATAGGGGAGCTAGGTAATGACCAAAAACCAAGCGATGAGGTGATGGACCTCAGATGGAAAGCCAAGGATTCAGGGTGATGTGGATAAGAGACACCTTGTAAACAACGATACAGGGTGGAAGGGGGTCCCCATCAAGTGGTAAGACAGTGATCTTATTATAAGATCATAAATTGTGTTACTGATATAGCTGAGAAATGAAACTCCTGTTGTTTTTTAGGAAAATCGAACCCCAAAATTCCAGCCAATCATAACTGGCTTGTATATGCATAGAGAATGGAATTCCAAGAGTGTAGATCTTTCTTCTGGATTTAATCTGTATTTCTCTTGTAGATAGTTATAATTATTTTCATCAGTCCTGCAAAGCTCCTTTTCACTGAAGTCACTTCAAAATCAGAAGTGCAAAACTGGAAGATCTAAGCTGAGTTGCTTTTATAATCACACATGTGATATTTCTTACATTTTCAGTTATCACTTCAGGTGCTGCTCACTTTGAACTGGAATAGGCAGTTAAACCAGAAAAAACTATTTACAGATGTGGTCACATTACAATGCTGTTTCATTATTATTAATCTTTCATTCATGGATACTGCGCATTTAGTCATTGTCTGTTCACTATTATAAACAGGAAAACCATAGCTGGCTTTAAATTAGAATTGCTTCCTAGTTAGTGTTTCTTGTACAGGAACAAAATGTTACATGTTATATTCTCAACAGGATCTGTAGAGCTCTGTTGGAAGTAGGGAGTAAACACTGAAGCACTCTCACAAATTGTGGTTTTGCATATAGTCATTACGTACATATAAACGTAAAACTTCAGCTATTCACCTGTTACCAATGGGCTCTGCCCCAGGAATTTCTTCATTGTACCCAGCCCCTGCTTTCAGAGGCTCCACGTCACCATTTCTTTCAGCGACTCTGATTTCCTTCATTTCAATACTGTGAATAGTCCACACCATTTTACATTTTAGAATCATAGAATGGTTTGGGTTGGAAAGGACCTTAAGATCATCCAGTTCCAACTCCCTGCCATGGGCAGGGACACCTCACACTAAACCATCTCACCCAAGGCTCTGTCCAGTCTGGCCTTGAACACTGCCAGGGATGGAGCATTCACAACTTCCCTGGGCAACCCATTCCAGTGCCTCACCACCCTCACAGTAAAGAACTTCTTCCTTATATCCAATCTAAACTTCCCCTGTTTTAGTTTTAACCCATCACCCCTTGTCCTGTCACTACAGTCCCTAATGAAGAGTCCATCCCCAGCATCCCTATAGGCCCCCTTCAGATACTGGAAGGCTGCTCTGAGGTCTCCAGGCAGTTTTCTCTTCTCCAGGCTGAACAGCCCCAACTTCCTCAGCCTGTCTTCATACAGGAGGTGCTCCAGTCCCCTGATCATTCTCGTGGCCTCCTCTGGACTTCAACAGCACCAATCTTGAGTCTGATTATAAAGTATCTTTATGCATCTGACATTGTGATAAAGGAAGCCCAGTCCCTCCTTTCTAGCCTAAATCACACTTTAAATCCTTCACAGTATCTTCCCTTGCAAACCTCATTTTCATTAGGATCCTTGTATTCATTTCTAATCGTCTGTTCTCCAGTCTGTATTTTGACTACAGCCCTCTTTCAGCAAGGTGGATTACAGCTTACTTTTGTTTGCATGAAGCAAAAACTCTGAAGTTGTGATAAAGAGCACTGGAATAACGAAACTGTGGACATTTATTTATGAAATAGCAGCAGAAAAAATAAGACTTGAAAGCTATAGTAGTTGCTATGGTTTACCGCAGCTTGCAACTGTGAGAAACTCTTCCCCACATGCAGAAAAAGTTCTGTCCTTGGAAAAGTTTCTTTTGTTCGATGTCTACCAGTCTTCGTTTGGTTGTATTATTATGTCTTCTTGTCAAAACCTTACCAACTTTTTCTCAGTAGAAAATAATGAAGATCAAATATGAGAAACTCCGGTTAAACTGAAGAAAAGGCAACTGAATTTTGTTCGAAGATGAAGTGGGCACTCGTTGCCCACTGCAGCCACGACAGCCGTGAGGCTCACGAGGGAAACGAGCAGGCGAAGCCCCGCTCCACAGCGGGGCCGGTGCCGGAGCCAGCCCCGGGCCCGGCCGGGTCCTCACCAGAGGCGCCATCAGCGCCCTTCTCTCTCACAGCCAGCGCCTCCCGCCCTTAGCCCGCCAGCGGCCGGCTCGCGCTCCCTCACAGAGCCCGCCATGTTCCCGCGCCCAGCTCCTGTCAGCGAGGCGAGGCGAGGCGCTGCCCCCGGTGCCCTCTCACAGAGCCCGGATTTGGAGCAGGAAGGACGCCGACGCCAGCTCCAGCTATCAAGCCTAACTGCGCCTACTGAGGTACAGAGACAGCCCTAGCCTTCGGCAGGGTCTTCGGTGAGCCTTGTAATGCCCCTGGAACCTCCGCCTCTAAAAGCACACCTTTTGCATAGAATGCCTCAAACAATAGCGTTATTATTTAATATCTGGTTAATAGTGTTCACTTTCTGGCCGGAGGGGGGAAAGAGCAAGCTGGAGAGGGGAAAAGAGAAAAGGTGTTTGTGCTGCTAGCTGGGTGATGAGCGACACAGCACTGGGCAGATTGTTCTGAAGATCGCTGAGTGGAGTCTTCCTTCTGCTGCTGCACCTTCATGGCAGTATTTACTCACAGGCAGGGGGAAGATTCCTCCAGGCACTGCTGTCCTGCCTTAAACAAAGCCCCTCCGCTGCGAATTGAAGGCTCCCATGCTCCCAAAATGTGAATCTCGGTGTCTGCCAAACCGCCCATACTGTGCCTGCATTGTGCGCTCTAGGCCATACACTTGTACTGGTTTATCATTACATTGTTCTTGCAAAATGAATGAAAGGTTTGAATTATTCACAGTTCACTTTTATAGAGGAAGTGCAGGCAAAACGTGGGCTTTAATGGGGTTTAGGTGGAATTGAGTAGTCCTGTTCAGGTGCAGTTACTGCTGTTAAATTCTTCTTAAGCAAAAATGTAGCGACTGCATATCTCTGCTTTTCAGAGCTCCTGGTTTGATTTTAGATGGAAAATCTTGTGATGGTATCAGCCAACTTCATAGGCTGCAGAGACAGGTCTCAGAGCTGAGAAACCAAAAATAATTGAACCCTTGTTATATAGGAATCTGAATGGTCTCAGTTTGCTCAAGCCAACGTTTTGAAAGCTTGGTGTTGATAAAATGACTGCACTGTACAGTGCAGATATTAGTGAGAAAGGCTTGCTGCCCTGAAACAAATCAAAACATTACCCACCCAGCCCCAATTCCTCATATTTTACAGCAGTGTCATGTACAGCACTGTGGTAAGGTAAGACTGGAAGAGAATCCTGTAGTTCATACTATGGGAAAAGGAATCTGAAGCCTATTTCCCTCTCTCGTATAGTTTGACTGTTTCAGCATTAATTGTTAGCATGCAAGGAAGAGTCGTTGTCTCGGCTATAAAATTAGATTTTAATAGACCTACTAGAAAGGCATAAAATTTAGTACAGTCCACTAGACATTTTTCATTTTCATGCAAGAAACCAAACTGACACATTTCGAGATTGCATGTTACCACAATGTAAAGCAATTTGTAATATAGGAAGGATCATGTCAGCGTGTGTATAAGGGCAGTGCTGCAAACTATTTTCTACTCCGTCAATAAGCAGCAAGTACCAGTGTATTTCTCTTGTGTGTAAGCTGCCCTGAGATATGGTACCTAACATGAATGAAGTATTTCAGCCTTATTTGTAGCCAGGGTGAGTTTCTGAGACTCTGGAAGGATGATTTCATTTAAAAAAATCCTTAAATGACATTAAGCTTTTTTTAAGCCTTTGCATTTCAGATTAGGACAAGATGTTGCAGGCCTGGAAGTCCACTATATCTTGTTTCAGAAACTGTTAAATGAAACATTTCAAACATTTTTTGCATTAAGATGCAGTTTCTGAGCTCCAGGCTTACTTATTTCACAAACTATTTTCCTTCTCTAAAGTCTAAAAGCTAAAAAAGCTTGGAGAAGCCTTGAGAAGTGGAACTTCTGTGGCAATCCACAGAACTGAAAAATTCAAATATTCACTTTTATTTTTCTTTATAAGCCATCATATATATTCAGATAGGCATAAAATTTGTGTATTGTGCCAAAATTCAGTGAGACATGCATCAAAACAATTCTGTAGTCTACATTTGTTTCATGTAAATAGAGATCAACAACTGCAATACTGCAATGGTGATTTAATCTCGTTTGTGTGGGGTGTGAAGGAAGTGACATGAAAATGTTTTATATATGTCAAGTCATACCTACCTCTTCCACTAACCTCCTTGCTTTCAGAGACTGGGATTTAACTCAGCTTCAATAATGAATACAGGAAAGAGCAGGCTATGCATGTTCACAGCTGCTGTGAAGTAGGTTTTTTCAATTATAAACTGAGCTACAGCTGCTCAGGGTTGTGAGTTCCCTTCCTTTAGGTGTAATAGTAAAACTAATTAAATAATATTTTGAAGAACTGTTATGGAGCTAAGAAGACACTTGTTCAAAAGCACAGAGGTACATAGCAAAACTCAGTGCAAGACAGTCACTTTAATTTTATTGCTTACAGCTGTATCTGTCTGTAGACAGTAGACTGTGAGAAAAGCAGCTGCTTCTGAGCAGGTTGTGTTAAACTTCTCAGCTGTTTGACTCTCCTACATGCAAGGTAATGTGGTTTTGTGACATGTAAGCTTTTCTTTCTAATGTTAATGAAGCATGGCTTAGATGTTTGAAGGAAGGTGACAGGATTCCTGAAATCTTTACATGTAGGTGTTTCTTTCTCAGGGTGAATGTAACAGCATTTTTACTGTAGCCACCGGACTTAGACTTCCTTCCAGTCCTGGGGTGCTAAGCAGACTTCCAGTTCAGTCTTTACATATAACAACTCACAGTAAACAAATACAGGCTTCAGTTTTCATCTGTCTGTTCAGAAAAACAAAATTACAGAAAATACATAAATTTGAAGAAGGTGAGTGTTAATGGGCTACCCTTGATGGCTTTTCTTCATTTTTCAGCCACTAACACATCTTTTCTTGCCCCAAGTGAATATAAGTTCCAGAAATCTATTTCATCCCCTGCAATGTTAATCCTTTTTTCCTGTCTCCTTTTCGCTCCACTGGGATAAAGACAAGTATAGCTACACTCTAAAAGCAACCCAGCAAGCAGAGAAAAAACTCTTGAGACCACAACTTGAAAACTGGGACTTATAAGTTCCAAAATAATAATAATAATACAGAAGCCCTCCAGTCTCATGACTATGATGAAGTAATTATTGAACGAAGAATACAATGGTAAAAGAAAGGCCGAGGCATACCTTGAAAAACAGAAAGCTTTAGTATTACGGCTTTGAAAAGGAGTTCCTGTGTGTAAGACATGATATTTGCAATGGAATTCTTTCAGAACAAGTATTTAGTTTTAATTAGGAGGGTGGTATTTTGGTTAATGGCATTCTTTGAATTCTTCAGTGGCTGTGAAACATTGAGCCCTTATTAAAGAAGAGCATAGAGAAAAAGAAGCCATGGGAGATGAACAGGCTTTCCCAATTTCCCAAATTGAATGTTCCAGGCATACATGTTCATGGTTTCAAATTTAAAATATATTGTTAATTGAAAGAACACAATGAATGTTTATGGAAATGCAGTGGCGCATTCAGGGGTGTAGCCCATCTTTCCAGGCTGTGTATATGCTGCAACCAGAGTTGCTCTGAGCTTCATTCTAGTTGTGCAGCTCCTTATACACACTCCTCTGCTGGTCTGAGAGTACTTTTTATGTGATTATCTTGGCTAGAACTACTTCCTGCTTCTGTGAGTTTATCAAACAAATAAGTAGAAGATACTTCTAAGCCAGCATAAAAGCGCTGTGTTTGGAGAGGCAACAGTGATTCACCTCTAGTGAAATAGTTTTGACTAACTAAGTTAGTTTCAACTGTAAATAGTTTCAACTAACTTAGCAACTTGACAATACCTGTGTGACTCCAGTCTTTTTGAGAACAGATGATATTTGTTGTGAAGCAGAGACCTGCCACCACAGAGCGTAAATACCTGATGTGGTCTTTATACATGAAATACATGTATAGTGTATAATAAATGGCACTCAGACTAGTGATCCAGCTAGCTCAGTATCCTGTTTCTAACAGTGTGAAGATTTGGAAGACAGCGGTCTCCTTAGAGATCCTAAAGGAGTCTATATCCAATATGCAAAATACTAAAATCACTCCAATAGCTCTCCATAAAGGTGAACCAGCAACATGCTTAGCTGACTTCCAGTTACTGGTAATGCAAACATAGATATAATTCAAAGCTACAGTCTTCTGGAATTAACAGATTAATCTGATTAAATGAATAAATCATCTCATGTTACCCGTAACAGTAACACATTTAGTATTTGCATATAGTTTGAATAGAGGTTGTCAAAGACATGCAAACTAGAGGTTGAGAAATAAAATTTCTAAATAGATAGAGATCTTGAAGTATAGACTTGGTCTCTGCTGACACCCAAACTGCATTTACAGATGTCTCTGTTTAGCTTTGTCCCCCAGGCTTTCGTAATCCCTCAGAAAACCTTTTCAGACAGTTCATAGAGAACTTCCAGTATTGCATTCTCTTAGTCCTCAGAAACAAACTTGTATCACTCATGAGATCTACTTCTTATGCTATGTATACACACAAAATACACACTGTAAACTGAATAAAGAGCTCTATAACAAACTGTAAGTGGTCACAGACGGCACTATGGTCTTAAAAGGGGTCATGTCTAGTCTTTATTTTAATAGATAAATACTATATTCTATGGTTTATAATTTCAAAACAGTTCTAAAGGATTAAGTCACAGTGAATTCCAGTAAGAGATAACAGCCTGTATGTTAAACATGCCCAATTCTATACAGTTTCCCTCCGGGGCTATTTGTAACAATTTGTAAAAAACACCCTGTAATGTGTTCATGTTGGAAACCAGTCCTAGAAACAGAATTTTAAAACTGAATTTGATACTTGAAAAATGCTGTGACTTTCTACTAGGGAAAGTACCATAACCAGAAGGTTGAAAAAGCGAAAATACATCAACAAATTGAACTTATGTATCGAAAGCCCTTTTTTGGCTTGTTTATGTCTTCCCACCTACACATTTAAATCCAATAAGCAATCTGCCCTACTGCAAACCTCATCTCCCCAGTTTCCTTAAATATTTGCAGTTACAAAAGCACTGAAATTACAAAATTATTAAAACTCAACAATGGGTTAAATAGCATCCATATAGGAACACTAACTACATGTACAAACCTGATTATTTTAATATAAAGACTATTATTTTATCCTTATAGCCAAATGAATCCTGCAGTTTTATATGTCTAAATCAAGCCAGCCCTGTGCTGTAGCTGCATTCTTCATTTGCTGAACTAAAGCTGTAACTAATTTGCCAAATTAGGAGTTTAGATTAAGCATTTTAAACCCGTAGCATCTGGTGAAAACAGAATACCTTTAAAATTGTTTTTTGTTTTTTGGACTTCACCTGAAAAACCTAACAGTACATAACCTATTGAGAGAGTCTAAATTTTTGTGGACAAAATTTGAAATATGCTTTTATAACCTGTTTTGAACAGAACGAATTAATCCATTTGCTGCTAGTTAAAAAAACATGCCAATTGAAAGATTATTTTTTCTTTGATATCCGGCTCCATTCTCATGAGAGGTATCCTAGCTTACTCCTCAAGAGAAGGAGAACTGTACTTACTACACCTTGATAGAGACACTACATAGAAAAAAAAACAAACAATAAACCTCACTGAAGCAAAACCTAAATGCTCTCTTATTCTTGTTAACTGTTAGAATAGACTTAAAAGTGTTGGAGAGTGACTGTAAAGCATTATCTCAGCAAAACAAAGGAGCAGTTATTTGATTTGCGTAGCCCTTTCAACACAGTATAAAATACTATTACATGAATATCCCACTTTTCAGAACACAAACCAAACTGAATACATTCAGGCTTTCAGTAAGTTATTCCCACAAACCTGTTTGGGAAAGCTTCCCTTTGCTGACACACTGACTTTTCACTAATATTTTCATGACCCCTGTTTCTCTGAGGGGTTTTGTTTTGTTCTTGACAGAGCTCCTATTTTAGCATATCTGCTTCTTGAAATACTCCTAATTAATGCACTGCTTCTAATTCTTTGTATCCATGTCTCATGGAATGAGTGTATTTCAACCCCCTGTTGGCAGTGCCATATCTGATTTCTGCATTTGTGGACAGTAGTTCTGCTATTTACGGTATCTTGTGCTTTGGGAACACTGTGCTTTGATCAGAAAGCTTCTGCAAGAGCTCAGTAACTTTTTGTACAAGCTGAGACAATAATGATTTTATCCAGGGAGTGCTGAACTATGTAATGAATTCTTCAGCTCAGATATAGAACATTACGATGGGAAAAGCCAGCACAGGTATATCTAATTAGATTATGTAAAAAAATGAAAGGAACTGCTGTGGCACTTGGCTCACTAAATATGGTTGTAGGATGCAGAATGGGTACAACTGCTTTTCTCCTGAAAGTGCCAGCAATCTTTGCTAAGAATTTTCCAATATTATGTCTGTAATCACAGTACAGATATCTGTGATAATAACACTGGCTTAGTGGGGTTGATGCTTTCCTTTATACTTTCATAGTTTATCTTTAGACATGATTCAACCTCAGGGATTTTACAGAAGTTATTGTGAGAAAGGTGTAAAATAATCTCTGAGGTTCCATGACATCAGCACTTTGACAGTCTAGGTGAGTGTGGTGGAGCAACCAGAGACCCAGATTACGATAAGTAAATTCTGATATAGAACATGTAGTCCTGAGCTCCTTTTGATTTTAGGGTTGTCCTGGGTTCAGCAGTAGCAGTCAATTTTTCTCCTTCTTAGTAGCTGATGCAGTGCTGTGTTTTTGACTTTCAGCCTGGGAACAGCACTGATAACACCGATGTTTTTAGTTGTTGCTAAGTAATGTTTAGTCTGACCAAGGACTCGTGAGTCTCATGCTCTGCCAGGGAGGAGGGGAAGCTGGGAGGAAGCAGAGACAGGACACCTGACCCAAACTAGTCAAATAGGTATTCCATACCACAGCACTTCATGCCCAGGAGATAGAACTGGGGGCAGTTACCCAGAAGGGCTAGATCACTGCTCGGTTAGGCTGGGTATTGTTTGGCGGGTGGTGAGCATTTGTATTCTCTCCCCTTGTTATTTCCCTTATCATTATTATTTTGGTGGTAGCAGCAGTGGTTTGTGTTATACCTTAGTTACTGGACTGTTCTTATCTCAACCCGTGGGAGTTACATTCTTTCAATTCTCCTCCCCATCCCTCCAGGAGTGGGGTGGGGGAAGTGGGGGAGTGAGACAGAGACTGTGTGGTTCTGATTTACGACTAGGCTTAAACCACGACAAAGGGTTTTGTTAAACCTAAATTCATTTTTTTTTATTTTGTTAAACCTAAAAATCTGTCTAAAGCTGCAGAAGCAAAATTGGAACCAAGTTAGCAGCTAGGCTGGGTTCTTGGGCTTCCTTATCTTCCCTGAGTCAAGTCTGTTCTGGATGCTTTTCTTGTCATCTACTTTTCCTGTTGATTTTGAGAGCAAGAGGTACCGATCAGCAAGGTTAAGGAGCTATTTAATGTTGAGAAAGTAACTTTCAGACTAGTGTGGCTTGCTATTGTCCATTTGTGCAGTAGCACTTAAACTACTTTTTCCTTCACTGGAATTCGAAATCCTGATAAAGCTGCTGAAAACTCTCCTCTCCAATGTAATCTTTAGGTTTTGGACTGCTGTATTAATAGTGTGTTAGAATTCAACACAATCTGTTAGTTGAACTTCTGCAATTTTTTTTTCCCCTAGACTGATAATGTTAATATCTGAATTTAGCACTGAAATACAGAGCTTGATGGCTGCATCCTAAACCCACTGGAATCAGCAACGTTTTTCATTGAGCCTTGCTAGCTGTAGGACTGGTCGTTATACATCATTTAGCATTTCCCTGAAATTGAGCAGCATAGGTCAAAACTTAGTTCTAAATCTTCATTCTGACCCAAGGGAATATTCCTTCAGTCACTTTATTGAGTTTGCTGGTGCCTAACTAGCATAAGGCAAGTTCATAACAGAGCTTTTTCTTCAAGCCGCTTGGAGTGGGTTTCAGCCTTTTAGACTGAAGTTAGCACTCTATATTTTTGCAAGCAACTCCTGGGTAATCTTGCAGTCCAGTGATGCCTAGTGTTCCAGCTGTATGTTCTGTGTGGGTTCTTGGAGGGACCACAAGCCGTAGAAGCTCTTTTATTATAGTGGTCTGATCTTGTAAAAGAGCAACCTTTATTAATAAATGTGTGATATTTGTATTGTCCAAGTCTGTGTTTAAAAAAACTTAAGATACTGCTTTTTAGATTTGCTATGTATTAATTTTCATACATTTTTATGATGCCTCAGTGGGCTTGTTCCTCCAGCCCTTGATCTATGAAACCTTAATAGTGAGATGTCCAGAAAAAGTAAGATGGGTCCTATGAATTGGAACACAATAATGGAAAAAAATTTGTCTACAAAAATATATGTTTTTGCAAATGCTTAGAGCCCAAAGCACATATTATCATGTCTGCAGCAGTACTAACATGAGATGTTTTATGTCACTGTGCATCATACTAAAAGAAAACAACTGCCTGCTGATTCTGTGCTAATGACAGGGTTTTTTGAGAGGAGGGGGCTTAGGTGAATTGTAGGAATTTCATTTCTTGGTTTACAGGGGGTGCTTTTTATTTTTTTACTGCCTACCTGACAGTGCTGTTTCATGGTTGTAAGCCAGAATAGTTGAAGGAGTGCCACTGATGAAAACAAATACATTTGATGTAAGTAGTAAATGAAGCCTTTTATAGGGTATTAATTGCGATGTTAAAATTTATGAATACAGTGCATTGTGCTTTTCTCAGAGAGAAGAACAAATAGGTGGAAAGCTTTGGAAATCTCTTTCATTTGATAGTAAGGGTATAAGGAGAAGACAGAATTTTCCAAAGGGGGGAAACAAGTAGGGATAGACTCTCCAAAGGTGCCAAGTGGGTACTTAGAGCAGTCCCAAGAAAGGTCCTACAGCTCCCATGCAGCAGCTGGGATGATGGGTGAAGGCATCCATACTTTTTCCTTATATCAGTAGCAGGCTGTACTAGAGCTTTATCAATGAGGCTGAACACAGCTTTGCAAGAAAATGTGCTTTGTGGATTTTTCACCTTTCACCTCTGTGTAAAATTATAACATGGTTCTTGACATTATGCCAGGCAGGAGCCTATCTAAAAACTGTGTCTAGAAGGAACAATGTGTTTTTGCAGTCTCAGCTTTGATTGGGGTTGGCTGCTGATTACATCACTCTTGGCAAATTCCAGGAGGTATAACAGGGCTC